AACATTTCAATAGGAGTAGACATAAATAGTGGAATGATGGGGACATAGTTAGAATCAGGGGGATGAACAGTGACCCCAGTTCAGGGTCCTTAGATAAGAGGACCAGTGTGAATACAGATGACCATGGGGAGACCCTCTGTTTGCATGTGCAGAGCTGAGGTGCACTCCAAACACACCTCCTCACTCCCTTGTCCAAGTGGGCAGAACGGCTCACCCTTGCTAGAAAGCTCTTCCCCGGGTCTCTGCCATTCAAAACATAATAGCACCCCCTTGTGCTCCCCCCTCAAATCTGTTCAGTCAGTTCAGTTCAGTTGCTCAGTCGTGTTGACTCTTTGAGACCCCATGAATCTCAGCACACCAGACCTCCCTGTCCATCACCAACTCCCGGAGTTTCCACAGATTCATGTCCATCGAGTTGGTGATGCCATCCAGCCATCTCATCCTCTGTCGTCCCCTTCTCTTCCTGCCCCCAACCCCTCCCAGCATCAGGATCTTTTCCAGTGAGTCAACTCTTCGCATGAGGTGGCCAAAGTACTGGAGTTTCAGCCTCAGCATCAGTCCTTCCAATGAACACCCTGGACCAATCTCCTTTAGGATGGACTGGTTGGATCTCCTTGCAGTCCAAGGGACTCTCAAGAGTCTTCTCCAATGCCACAGTTCAAAAGCATCAATTCTTCGGCGCTCAGCCTTCTTCACAGTCCAACTCTCACATCTATATATGACCACTGGAGAAACCATAGCCTGAGCTCTCCCCCCAAATCGGTGCTCCCTCCCCAATCCATGCACCCCAACACTGAAGTCCTACAGTCTCTTTAGATCCTGCCTGGCCCTTATCCTTGATACCTGGGGTAAAAGTGACCTTGGAAATGCGGCCATCCTCTCCACTCCATCCTCCCCACCACCTCCTCAACTAAGGACAGAGGCAGGTACAGGGCAGTGCTCTGTGGGCGTGAGGGGGAAAGGGAGGCAGGCAGGAGGCGGAGGCTGATCTCAGTCTGGCCGTGCTTCCCTGGACTCAGACTGCAGAAGGGCCTCAGGGACACCAGGGTGGCCCAGCGCACGCCCTCCAACTCAGTCCTTGGGGAAGGCACACCGTGGCTGTGGGCTTTGACCCTAAACTCCCGTGGAGGAAGGATGCTCTTCGACACCAGAGGTCAGAGGTCTCTGTACATCCATGAGTTTAGTGGTGGGGAGTGGACGACCACCTACTGTCAGGGGCAAAGTCGGGAAATGAGCACAGTCTGTGCTGGGAGCCCACAGCTGCCCTGGTCAAGGCCATTTCCTCACCTGGCGGCCCCCTCCTCTTCCAAACTCCATCCTTAGCGCCTCTGTGCTCTTGCACACAAATCCCATCAGAAAACCCGTTCTCTGCACCTCCATCCACACTCAAATGGGATGGGAGCCCAAATCTCAAAGCCAAAGGGACTGGAGTGAGTGAGGAGGTGGGGAGACCTGGGGTCTCCGGGAAGGATGGGCGGGAGTGCAGGGGTGAAGGGGCGGGGAGGGGGTGGGCACAGAAGGGGCCCCTGACGACCTCTGCAGAACAGGCTCCACAGAGTGGCGTACTGCGGCCGTTCACCCCCGCTGCCAGGCAGGTTGGCTCTCCTCCTGGGTGACTGGGGTGCTCGGGCCTGCGGGGAGCTGGGTGGATACCGAGCGTCCCCTGAATGTGGAGCTATAACTGCAGCGGCTGCCCTCCTTCCCTGAGTCCCCCTCCTCAGGAATGGAACCTCCATCCTCCAAGCTGCTCCAGATGAAAACAGGAAGTCATCCTTGAAACACTCGCCCTGATCCATCCATCCGATCTATCAACAAATCATGTCAATAAATCCTGTCAACTCTCTCAAAACCTCTCTCAATTCCAGCCACTTTGGTTTCTCCACCACCACCCCCGTCCAAGCTCTCAGCCGCATGACCTCAGGATGTGCCTCAGAAGCGGATGAGAGCTTGGCCGGTGCGCAGAATCCAACCAGGCACCTGGAGTCAAGGCTGAGCATCAGGAAGGTGCTCACGGGCATTCAGAACTGAATTATGTGGGAAGAAATTGCTGCAGGGCATCAGCTGTAACCTTAGAAGGAGATGCAAGATTCCATACACACAGATAGATCACAGAGAATTATAGAAGGATCTAAAGGACGGATGGATTGGTTTCAAGTGTCTTTAGTGCCAGAGGGAAGGGTAATAAATGTCCTGAAGGAGTTAAAGACATGAAAAAAGTCTAGCATAGCTGTTAGGAATGTTTGCTACACCCTCAGTGAAAGCGCTGGCTTCTGTCTATACAAGTCACACAGAAGAAGCACTCAAGGGTGTAATCAGAACTTAGAAGACACCAACCCTATTTAAAAGATGTGAATTCCAAGCCTCCTGTTGCCATTTTGAGTATTAAAGTAGAGTTCCATGTACCCAGTCATGGCGGAGAGAGTCACACTTGAAGTGCACAAACCCAGGTCAGAAGTCCGTTTTGACCAATAAGCACGCTCTAGTGCTGGGATGATGATCTGGTGGGGATCTTATAAAACTGGCCCAGTAATCTCAATTTGCGTAAGATAGTAACACTGCACTTTAGTGGGTAAGCCTCACAAAGGTGGTAATTAAACACAGAAAGATATGGGGACTTCCCTGATGGTCCAGTGGTTAAGAATCCACTGGATTCCCTGAATGCAGGGAACGCGGGTTCCATCCCTGGGCAGGGAGCTAAGATTCCACATGCCTTGGAGCAACTAAGCCCGCACGACCCAACTACAGTCTGTGCACTGATGCAAGGAAGATCCTGCGGACCAGCTGAGACTCAACTCAGACAAATAGGTTAATAAACAATTCATTAATTAATTTAAAAAATATATAAATCAGGTCCAAAATATTAATATTCAGATGCAGAGATTAATTAAAAGTTTTTGTTTTTTTTGGCAGCTCTATGCAGGTTGCTGGATCTTAGTTCCCCAACCAGGGATTGAACCTGGGCTCTCTGCAATGAAAGCACTGAGTCCTAACCACTAAACCATCAGGGGATTTCCATAAATTTGTAATCACTGGAATCATGTATACAATTTTGAACTTAGAGCACTTATATTTTTTAATGGCCTCTTGGGGTACATAACAGATTATCCTTGTAATTCTAATATAAGATGTGTAATTAAACAGTTTATTTTGTGCTTGTGATTTTGAGTTGAGAGATGTAAGAGAACTTGGCTAAGTTAACAGAACATTGACATGTTTAACACAACTTGATTTTTCTAGAGTCATAAGTGTAATTTGTTATATTTACAGGAGTCCAGTACTTTGGAAGGTTCTGAGTGTTAAATTGGGTGTGGAAAGTACTTTCTAAAATTCAATAAATTAATCAAAGCAGCTTAAATTGTTTGTCAAAATTTAACCCACAAAAATTTAAATGGGAATGATTGTTTAAGACTGATCTGTTCTACTTAATTAAGCATTCATTAAGGACTTCTTAAATTTTGTTATAAGTAGGCTAAGATGGTTGAAACATGGGAAGCTATGTTTTTTCTTCCTTTTTAAAAACTTTTTATTTTATACTGAAGTATAGCCCACTAACAATGTTGTGATAGTTTTAGCAGATCAGCAAAGGGACTCAGCCATACATATACAAACACATGTATCCATTCTCCTCCAAACTCCCCTCCCTCTAATCCAGCTTGCCACATACATTGAGCAGAGTTCCCTGCGCTATACAGCAGGTCCTTGTTGGTTACCCATTTAAAATATAGCAGTATGTACGTATTCATCCCAAACTCCCTAACTATCCCTTTCCCCTTTCCACCCAGAAGCCATAAGTTCATTCTCTCAGTCTGTGAGGCAGTTTCTGTTTTGTAAATAAGCTCACTGGCATCATGTCTTTTTAGATCTCACATCTAAGGGATGCCATATGATGTTTCTAATTCTCATCTGACTTACTTCACTCAGTATGACAGACTTTGGGTCCCTCTACGTTGGTGCAAATGGTATCATTTAATTCTTTTTTATGACTGAGTAATATTCCATTGTATATATGTACCACATCTTCTTTATCCCCTGGTAGGCTATATTTTTAATTTGTTGCTTTACTGAATATTCATTTAAAAATCAAAGTAACTTCAATAGATTCCTACACACAAACTTTACCTGCAGACATGAAAAAACTCATGTCAATAGAAATCATCCTCATCTCCTACCCTGATGACCACAATATCCTCCACTAGGTCTCTCCACTTCCATTCTTCCTGCATCCCTTCCATTCTCCACTGCAGCCACCTGAAAACCCTCCAAAGCTTCCCATTATACACAGAATAAAATCCAAAATCCTTGTAGCATGTCCTGCCAAATGACCCATAATTGGGTCCCTGCCTGTCTCCTGAGGCTCAGCCTGCTCCCTTGTTTTGAAGCTCCAGCCACACCGATCTTCTTTTCTCATCTCAAATGTAGGATACTCATTTTCACCTCAGGACCTTTGCATATGCTATTCTCTTTCCTAGGGCTTCTATTCCACCCATTCTTAGCTCACCAGCTTCCATCCAGTTCTTCTTCTCTTGCTCTCTCTCTCTCTTTTTTTAAAAATCTTCTTTCCTTCCTTTTGTTCTTTTTACTTTCTAGCTCCTTCTGTTGTTAATTGTAGCATGTGGGATCTTCATTGTGGTGCAAAGGCCTTACCCTCAGAATATATATGTGGAACGATATGAACATATACATAACTATGTTTATCTCCTGGTGATACGATTATAGGCACATCTTGCCATCAATTTGTCCTGTACTTCCTGACTTTTCTGTAATAAGTATACATTCCTTGTGCAAAATTAGATGAGATTTTTTCCCCCCAGCATTCCCCAGACTTCACAATGTAGGGAGAAAGGGTGCGGTGACCAGTCTTTTGCTCAAACGGCAAGAACAGAGAGACACCTCGGGCATTCCAGTGTTTCTCTGGGTGACCACACAGTTGCGCAACTTTAGGCAACCCCAAGCTCCTCACTCTCCCGGGACAGACGGTGGTGGAGAAAGCCAGGACTCACCTGCTGTGACTGCGGGCAGGCAGACGCGCCGGCAGCCATCTTGGAAGCACTCTTTTGCTATCCCGCAGTCCCCGTCTTCTCTGCACTCATGCACACAGGGGCCTGACCAGAGGAAGCATGCGGTTAAAAGCTTTCAGGTCTTGAGTTCGAAAATAAATAATTTAAATGCCCTTACAATAACATTCAAAAAATAAATCTAACCAAATATATGCAGAAAAATACGTGAGACTACTAAGGAAAAAAACAACCATCTTATAAATGGAGAGAGATGCCATGTTTATGGATGAAAAGATTGTGTCAAAACATATCATGTCCCCCACCCCAATAAAGTTAATACTATCCCAGTTAAAATCACAGAAGAATTTTTCACAAAAATGGATAAGCTTATTCTAAAAGTTTATATGAAAGCTTCCCCCAAATCAACAATAATCAAGAAAATAAGATAATTTTAAGCAAAGCTGCAGAACTGAAATGCAATTGGGTTAACTGGATTGTTCATATATATATATATATATATATATATATATATATATATATATATATTTTAAAAAAGGAATCTTGTCTCTTACCTCATACCACACAACAAAATCTGTTCCAAATAGGTTATAGACCTAAGTAAAAGGTAAAGCAATAAAGCTTCTAGAAGATACTATAACAGTTTTATGATCTCGGGATAGGCAAGTATTTCTTAAATATCACAGAAGTATTACTGACCATTAAAACAGATAGGTAGATGGAATCTCATTGAAATTAGGAATGTTTCTTCATTGAATGACAGCATTAAGAGAGTGAAAAGAAAGCCCCATTAGCAGAAACCGTTTATAATCCATGCATACAACAAACAACTTGCATCCAGAATTCCTTATAAATCAATAGTAACAATTGATAACATAACAGAAAAATGGGCAAAAGGATCAAGCAGATGCTTCATAAAGGCAAAAGAAGTTGTTCAACAAAAATAATGTCAGATTCTGGAAAAATGGTTTTAATTATTTAGATTGCATACATTTTTGAGTTCTCTAAAATCTCCCCGTAAAAACACACAAAGCTATCAAAATAGCAAAACTTAAAACAGTAGACAACAAGGTATCCCCTCAAACTCCAAAATATGAGTGGACGAAAGGAGACACATCACTAAACTCCACCAGAGCAGTGAGACGTCTGCCTCCATGCAGAAATCTGTGGGCAGCAACGCGGTGGCTGATGGAGAAGACTGGGGACATCGCTCCGTGGGAACTTCCTGAGGAATCTACTAAGGATGGATTGTCAGCTAACCCAAGCACTGGCGAGATAGCAAAGCGGGGCCTAGTAAGGCATGGCAGCCTTCTCCAGTATTCCTGCCTGGAGAATCCCGCGGACAGAGGAGCCTGGCAGGTTATAGTCCATGAGGCCACGCACAGTGGCACACACCTGAAGGGACTGAGCAGGTAGTAGGTCGTACTCAGAGAACCTGGTATAAGGTAACTGTTTGAACTATTGGGTGTGTGTGTGTTAAGCAGCTGGAAGGTTGGGCAGGACCAAGCATATTCCTGTTGAACTGAAGAATTCGGGCAGGGTGCTCAGCCTTACCTCCCCTCAGAGCTCGTGAGCACACGTGGCCACAGCCATTGCTGACGCACTTCTCTCCTGCCGCACAGTCCCGGTCTCCTTCGCACTGCTCCACACAGACACCTTCACGGTTGGAAAAGACTGGGTTGAGACACTTAAATACCATGAACATTTATCCTGTAAATGAGTATGACCTAAGAACATCAGGATACACTTTGATCTAGGACTTCACTGTGTAAACATGAACTCCAGTAGAATCTCATCTGACCCTTCCAGTAAATAAGATCTGGGTTATTCAGATTTGAATTCAGGGTTGTTTACCATTAATGCACATGTCCCTTGGGTTATGCAACTCAGTGAGATTAACCTTGAGCCCCCAAAGGTCAAGAAACTTTTTTAAAAAAATATTTATTTTTAATGGAAGGGTAATTGCTTTACAACATTGTGTTTCTGCCACACATCAACAAAGAAACTATTTCTGATGGAAGCACTTATTGGATTCTAGTCTTGATACTCATAGAGATAGAGTTTAAAGATGGAGGCAGACCCTCAAAGCTGCTTCAAAGTCTTGGGCAAAAGAACGTCTCAACCAATAAGCACATCACCACCTACAAGAGGATTCTCACTGTGGGTCCTGCCAGTGGTTGGCCTGCTTCTGTCACCCTCACTATGAATCTTACTTAGTTTCCCTGTTATCGTCTGTAAATGGGGGTTGTCTGGTGTGTGGCTTGAGCAAGTAAAGAGAAGTTGGACTAGATGAGTGACTCTCAAATGTGGCTGATGATCAGAATCATCTGGGAGCTTTCAAATGAACTACAGAAAGTAGGACCTGGTCCAGGCCTGAGTACTCAGGTTCTCCAAGGTTGAGCCTATACATGTATATTTTAATAAGGGCTCCAGATGACGCTGATGCTGAGCTGGATGAGAGATTCTCCCAGAGACAGCATGTCTCTGACATTTTAGGATTTCATAAGCTGTTGCCAATTTGTGGAGGAAGGTTGGGGATCATAACCCTTTGTTAATATTCAGCCATTCATTCATTCATTCATAGTTTATTTACTCATTCATTCCTTTGTTTCTAATTCATCAACTTATTCTTTAAAAAGTACCTACTATATGTAAAGAATAGGGGCTAGATATTTGAGGAAATAGAGGTATGAGTCAGGTTTCACATCAGCAAGGCAGAAATAATCAGGATGGGAAATCAAAGTTTGCTCTCAACAGACTGTAATTCACAATGTTAAACATGTTTGATAGAAAGTGACATGAAAGAGGTACTGAAAAGAGTGGAGAGGAGTGGTTTAACCATTACTGTGCTAGAGAATTAGCTGGGATTTAAACACACACACACACACACACACTGACAAAGACCATTCAGTTGGGAAAGAATGGGATTTTTTTTCAACAAATGATGCTGAGACAAATGGACATCCACATGCAAAAAAAAATAAATTTGGATTACTACCTCAAACCATAAATGCATACATATGTAGTATACATACCTACATACACAAAAATTCACTCAAAATGGATCAAAGACCTGACTATAAGAGCTAAAACTATAAAAATCTTAGAAGAAACCATCAGTGTGAATCTTTGTGACCTTGAATTGGGCAATGATTTCTTAAAACTGACACCCAAAACACAAGCAACAAAAGAGGTAAAGAAATTGCACTTCATAAAATTAATGACTTTTGTCCGTTAAAGAACACTATTGAGTAAATGAAAGGACAAATCATAGAATAGGAGAAAATATTTGCAAATCATAAATCTAATAACAGTCTAATATCCAGAATATATCACGAATATATCACTCAGCAAGAAAAAAACAAACACTTCTATTTTGCAAAAGGAGGACTTGAATAGTTATTTCTTGAATACATCATAAGCAAATGATCATTAAACATATGAAAAAGTGTCCAACATCATTAGTCACTGGGAAAATGTGAATTGAAACCACAATGGAATACCACTTCACATATAGCCACCACTATGATGGCTATAATCAAACGTCAGGTATCAACAAGTGACGGCAAGGATATGGGAGCAATTGGAACTCTCACTGGTTGATCGTGGTTAAATTGGTGCAGGCTCTGTGGAAAACAGCTTGGCAGTTCCTCAAAAAATTAAACATAGACTTGCTATGTGACTGTGTCCACTCCTAGCAATTTTTTGTCCTCTCTTAGCCATTTTACCCTAGAGAAGTGAAAACATGTTCACACAAAAATTTGCACACAAATGTTCATAGCAACATTAACTTCATACTAGCCACAAAGTAGAAATAACCCAAGGGTTCATCAACTGATGAATGTGTAAATCATATCTGGTAGATCTACAAAATCCAACCATGAAAAGGAGTGGGTACTGACAGATGCTACAACTTAGGTGAACCTTGAAAATAGTGAAAGAAACCAGACACAAAAGACCACATTATTAAATGAGTTCCTTTACATGAAATAGCTAGAATAGAAAAATGCTTAGAGTAGGAAAGTAGATTGGAGGTTGCCAGGGGGTGGGGGAAGGACAGAACAGGGAGTTGGATAATGGATATGGGATCTCTTCTGGGGGTGATGAAAATGACCTACAGCTAGATGATGGTGATGGCTGTCCAACAATGTGAATATACCAAAACCGCTGAGTGGTACATATTAAAATGGTAAATTTTATCTCAGTAAAAACACACACCCCACACAGAGAAAGTTAGAGACCTCAGACAGCCTGAGCAGAGGATGTTGGCATTGGTCTCTTTTAACAAGCTTTTTGGGGTGATTCAAAAGTGCTGGCAGAGTCTCTTCTACCTAAAATGTGGTCTGTTGGCCAGGGTTATTAGCATCACCATGAAGCTTGTTAAGAACTCGTAATCTTGGGCCCCACTCCAGGTCTGAATCACAATCTGCAATTTAACAGGATCCTCGGATGACTCCTGTCATATTAAAGTTTGAGAATTACTGCCCTAATCTAGAAGGAATGAGTATGTTCATTATACTTATGCTGGAAATAGCCAGTACAGTGGGGCTTTCAAGGATTAAGGAGATTTCCACAGGCAGGAGTTGGGGAGGTCGTCACATAAAAGAACACATTTGCATTTTGAGGAAATCAGTCACCTGATTAGAGCTGCACTTTGGGAAGAACAATCTCACATTCATGCATAGAATTGGCTGGAATTCAACACACAACACGTGTTTTAGGTGAGAGAGAGTTCCAAGAGTATTGCAAGGGTCCAGGGATGTAACTAGGGTGGTACAGGTCAGTTTGGAAAGGCTGTAAGAGAAGTTGTGAAAGAAGATTTCACAAAGACTGGTCATTGATTACGTAGGAGTGGGAGGAGCAGGCTTCCCAGATGGCGCAATGGTGAAGAATCCACCTGCCAATGCAGGAGACATAGATTCGATCCCCGGGTCGGGAAGATCCACTGGAGGAGGAAATGGCAACCCACTCTAGTATTCTTGCCTGGAAAATCCCGTGGACAGAGGAGCCTGGTGGGCTACAGTCCATGGGATCTCAGAGAGTGGGACACGACTTAGTGACTGAGCTCAAGGCAGGAGCAAGGCAACCAGAGAAATCATCTTTGACTGTGAGCCTATAAAGTTGGGGGTGGGTATTGGTAGAAAGAAAAGAAAGCCAAAGGCACAGAAAAGGAAGAGCAAAGAGAGAAGCCATCAGAGCGAGTTTCAGACTGAAAAGACCCTGAACAATGTCAGCTCTGCAGAGATACCAAGGAGACTGACAACCGAGAAAAATTCTTAGATTGTCAACCGAGAAGGTATTGGTGCCTCTGGAGAGTGGAGTGTGGGTTGGGGGTGGGGGGTTGCTATCAGTGGTGACTGTAATGGTGATGGTTGAAGCTGTATTGGAAGGGCTCAGGGGCCAGTGGTGTGGAAGAAAGAGAAAGAGAAGACAGAAGAGGGTTCAGAAAAATGTTTTCTCAACAGTGTGGGAATTTATTTGCTTGTAGGTAGAATCAAATGGAGAGAAGAGGGTTAGAAATACTGAGGAGAGACCCAGAAGCTGATGGAGCAGAGTCAGAGGGGGAGGTGAGGGCAGTGCAAATGGAGAGGTTGGCCTTTGGAGAAAGGGAGAGTGGAGGTCGGCAGACCCAGAGGGATGCTGGCATGGGGACTCATGGGGAAAATTAAAGTGTCCCAGCGTCCCCTCATGTGGACTGTTCTCCATGTTTACCCATCCCCGCTCCATCCCCTCTTTAGACTGCACAGGACAGTCCTAGATTTCCCACTTCCTGACTCTCTTGTTCTGGGAGGTGGGATGAGACTTACCAATTGCCTGGAGCCATGTGTTGAGGGTGAGGAGACTGGCCAGGAGGAAGAGGCCGCCCAGCTTCATGTTGCTAGTTGAGGCTTTTGTGTGCTGATGATGGAGCAAGACCCAAGCCGCTGAAATTTAAACCCTCCTGAACAGAGGGCTGGGCCAGAGTTCGTGGCTGCCGGCAGCATTTAGGTAACTTGAATCCTGGACTTTGTCAAGCAGTGAACTTTTCTGGGAAAAATCAAACCCACAAACTTTGTGGTGCTGGGCAATGTTTGTTTTCCAAACCAGCTTTTGAGACAAGGGGACTATATCTCCTTAGTAATAAATAAATATATAAGATGAGAGAGAGAAAGTAAGAGAGGGAGAAAGGGAAAGACAATGAGAGAAGAGAAGATAGATAGATGATATATACAACCTCTGTGTGCAAAATGCTATCCTCTTTAAGCATCGTGACTGAGGTATGACAAGATTAAATAGCTTGCTTGAGGTTGTTGTTTAGTCACTAAGCTGTTTCCAGTTCTTTGTGACCCCATGGACTGCAGCACACCAGGTTTCCCTGTCCTTCACTGTCTCCTGGAGTATGCTCAGATTCATGTCCATTGAGTCAATGATGCCATCTGACCATCTCATCATCTGTCCCTCCCATCTCTTCCTGTCCTCAGTCTTTCCCAGCATCAGGGTCTTTTCCAGTGAGTCTGCTTATTGTGTCAAGTGGCCAAAATATTGGAGCTTCAGCTTCAGCATCAGTGCTTCCAATGAATATTCAGGGTTGATTTCCTTTAGGATTGACTGGTTTGACCTCCTTGCAATCCAATGGACTCTCAAGAGTCTTCTCCAGCGTCGCAATTCCAAAGCATCAATTCTTTGGTGCTGAATCTTCTTTACGGTCCAGCTCTCACATCTGTACATGACTACTGATAAAACTATAGTTATGATTAGACAAACTTTGTTGGCAAAGTGACGTCTCTGCTTTTTAATATGCTGTCTAGGTTGGTCATAGCTTTTCTTCCAAGGAACTGGTATCTTTTAATTTCATGGCTGCAGTCACCATCCACAGTGATTTTGGAGCCCAAGAAAATAAAACCTGTCACTGTTTCCATTTTTTCCCCATGTATTTGCCATGAAGCAATGGGACTGGTTGCCAACCAAACTCAGCTGGTTGAATGTTGAGTTTTAAGCCAACTTTTTCACTCTCCTCTTTCACCCTCCTCAAGAAGCTTTCTAGTTTCTCTTCACTTTCTGCCATTAGAGGGGTATCATCTGCATATCTGAGGTTGTTGATGTCTCTCCCAGCAATCTTGATTCCAGTTTGTGACTGGAATTTCTCATGATGTACTCTGCATATAAGTTAAATAAGCAGGGTATATTAAATATTAAATGGGTATAAATAAGACAATATACAGCCTTAACATACTCTTTTCCCAATTTTGATTAAGTCAGTTATTCCATGTCTGGTTCTGACTGTTGCTTCTTGAGCCCCATACAGGTTTCTCAGGAAACAGGTAAGGTGATCTGGTATCCCCAACTCTTTTGTTCGAGGTTACAAAGCTACTAAATGGGATTCAAACTCAGATATTATTGGCTTCATATTTCATGACTCCTTTCCTGTAACATTCTGTCTCTGCATCAGCACCTGGGTCTAAATATTGTATTGCATCATATGATACTGTTAAGGGACATATCTGTCCTCTCTCTTTCCTAAGCTGGTGCTAAATATTTGTGAATCTATACACATGTAGTAGAAAAATACTGGAACAATAACCTCTCAAGTAGTAACAGCACACCTCTTAGGAATAAGAGTTGGGGGCTTTAGGTAATCAAGAGGTCTTTAATGTCAACTGAAATAAGACTAAGGTAAGCAAGACATATTCATATATCACTTGCACAATTAACAATTAAAGACAAAAGAGAGAAAAACTCCCTAAAATATGGAGACTAGGTTGAAGAGTTGCACAACTAGGGTCAGGAAGTGCAGTTAGGAGGGCTTATTAAACATATCATATTGCAACATAGAGAAACATATCTACCTAATCTGTCTCTCATACCCCTGACTTGCCCTAAACTCTCTGGTGCCGTGTTTACCCTACAGGACTTATGAATCCATCAACTGGTGCTCCTTTAGTTGCTGGGAGAGAGATGAACAAACCTGTCCCTGGATGGCAGCCCTCTTTCTGCAGTCTGGGTGCCACTGAAAGGCTTTTACCCACTCTTCCCAGCTTCACTGAAATTCTTGTGCAATCAGTCGAAAAAATATCTGAGCCAGCTCTCATGTGTAAACAAGTTTTGGCTTTCCTTCCCTGCCCCAACTGTCCTGCACAGAATGTACCACAATAGGGTTAGATTGCAAGAACTTTCACTTTCTCTGGGAAGACAAGGCTCTGGGGGTGATGAATTAAAACTCAGATGTTCATTCTAGTAAATCATGTGGTTGAAAATCAATGTAAACTCCTCTCTGCTTTCTATTTCTCTTTCTCACCTCTTTACCTTGAAGTACCTGAATTCTGGCCTCTGTCAATAGCACCTACTGGCAAAATCCCACTGTTGGAGACCCCTAACTATGGACTTTATGATTCCCTGCACCAAAGTACCACCCAGCAGGGATGGGTTCCCCCATAAATTTATGATCAACAGCTTCATATAGGACTTCACCTTTGCCCTGCAATTTTAGTACAATTTCAACACAAACTCTCACTCTTGCAAAGGGCTATTGAAAATCTTGTCTGTGTTTCTCAAACATCAATCTCTTTCAGTCCCTCACACTTGGCAGATGTCCTTGCCTCCTCCTTTACAGGAAAAAAAAAACCCAACATTTAAGCTACTGGTACAATTTTTTAAGAGATATAGGGCTTTCAGGTTATTTAGTTCTTCTTCAGTTAGCCTTGGTAGGGTACCAATCTGGATTCAACCAGGAGAAAGGGACCATTCAGTCACTTGAACAAAGTTTAATATAAAGAATGACTAACTGCAAGAGGGATTAGAGTAACAAAGAATTTACTTTATTGTTGTTGTTCAGACACTATGTTGTGTCCAACTCTTTGTGACCCCATGGACTGCAACACACCAGCCTCCTTTGTCCTCCACTTTCTCCCTCCAAGAGTTTGCTCAAATTCATGTCCATTCAGTCAGAGATGCTATCTAATCATCTCCTCCTGTGTTGCCCACTTCTCCTTCTGCCCTCAATCTATCCCAGCATCAGGGTCTTTTCCAATGAGTCAGCTCTTCCCCTTAGGTGGCTAAAGTATTGGAGCTTCAGCTTCAGCATCAGACCTTCCAATGAATATTCAGGGTTGATATGTTTTAGTATTGACTAGTTTGATCCACTTGAAGTCCATGGGACTCTCAAGAGGGTCTTCTCTAATGACACATTTTGAAAGCATCAATTCTTTGGAGCTTAAAGTTCTTTATAGTCCAACTCTCACATTCATACATGACTACTGGAAAAGCCATAGGTCACCCTAAAGGAAATCAGTCCTGAATATTCGTTGGAAGGACTGATGCTGAAACGGAAACTCCAATACTTTGGCCACCTGAGGCAAAGAACTGACTCATTTGAAAAGACCCTGATGCTGGGAAAGATTGAGGGCAGAAGGAGAAGGGGACGACAGAAGATGAGATGGATGAGTCGGCATCACTGGCTTGATGAACGTGAGCTTGAGTAAACTCTGGGAGTTGGTGATGGACAGGGAAGCCTGGCGTGCTGCAGTCCATGGGGTTGCAGAGTCAGACACAACTGAGCAACTGAACTGAACTTGACTGTATGAACCTTTCTGGGCAGTGATATGTCTGCTTTTTAGTATGCTGTCTAGGTTCATCATAGCCTTCCTTCCAAGGAGCAGCATCTTTTAATTTCTCAGCTACAGTTACCAACACAGTGATTTTGGAGCCCAGGAAAATAAAACATGTCAGTGTTTCCACTTTTCCCCCTTCTATTTGCCACTAAGTGATGGGACTAGATGCTGTGATTTTAGTTTTTTTTTTTTTAATATTGAGTTTCAAACCAGCTTTTTCACTCTCCTCTTTCACCCTTGTCAAGAGGCTTTTTAATTCCTCTTCACTTTCTGCCATTAGAGTGGTATCAACTGCATATCAGAGGTTGTTGATATTTCTCCTAGCAATCTTGATTCTAGCTTGTGATTCATCCAGCCCAGCATTTCTCATGCTGTACACTTCGTATAAGTTAAATAAGCAGGGTGACAATATACAGTCTTGATGTACTCCTTTCCCAGTTTTGAACCAGTCATTTAGTTGTTCCATGTCTGGTTCTGACTGTTGCTTCTTGAGTTTCTTGTGAGACAGGTAAAGTGGTCTGATGCTTCTATCTCTTTAAAGAATTTCCCACAGTTTGTTGTGATCCTCACAGTCAAAGGATCTAGCGTAGTCAGTGAAGCAGAAGTAGATGTTTTTCTGGAATTTCCATGCTTTCTCCATGGTCCAACAAATTTTGAGAATTTGATCTCTGGTCCCTCTACACTTTCTAAACCCACCTTGTACATATGAAAGCTCTCAGTTCATGTCCTGCTGAAGCCTAGCTAGCAGGATTTTGAGCATAACCTTGTTAGCATTGAAATGAGAAAAATTGTACGGCAGTTTGAATAGTCTTTGACATTGCCTTTCTTTGGGAATTAGAATGAAAACTGAACTTTTCCAGTTGTGGCCACTGCTGAGTTTTCCAAATTTGCTGACATATTGAGTGCAGCACATTAACAGCATCGTCTTTTAGAATTTTAAATAGCTCAGCTGGAATTTCATCACTTCCATTAGCTCCGTTTGTAGTAGTACTTCCAAAGACCCACCTGACTTCACACTGCAGGATGTCTGGTTCTGGGTGAGTGACCACACCATTGAGTTTATCTGGGTCATTAAGACCTTTCTTGTACAGCTGTTCTGAATATTTTTGCCACCTCTTCTTAATCTCTTCTGCTTCTGTTAGTTCCTTACTTTTTCTGTCCTTTATTGTGCCCATCCTTATATGAAATGTTCCCTTGATATCTCCAATTTCCTGAAGAGATCTCTGGTTTTTCCCATTCTCTTGTTTTCCTCTATTTCTTTGCATTATTCATTTAAAAAGGCTTTCT